TGTTACAGATTGCCTAGCAAGTACTTACAGTTATCGGTTTGTTCTTACCACTGATTTTGTTACAGATTGCCTAGCAAGTACTTACAGTTATCGGTTTGTTCTTGTCACTGATTTTGTTACAGATTGCCTAGCAACTACTTACAGTTATCGATTTGTTCTTATCACTGATTTTGTTACAGATCGCCTAGCAACTACTTACAGTTATCGGTTTGTTCTTATCACTGGTTTTGTTACAGATCGCCTAGCAACTACTTAAAGTTATCGGTCAGTTCTTATCACTGATTTTGTTACAGATCGCCTAGCAACTACTTACAGTTATCGATTTGTTCTTATCACTTATTTTGTTACAGGTGTGACAATTCTACTCTCTCTTATGGTGTTTCTCCTTCAACTGGCTGAAACTATGCCACCAACTTCAGATGCTGTGTCTATTATCGGTATGTGTGTGTTTCGATATGTCTTTGTGTATCACTGATGTGTTCAGGATGAAAACAAATTACATAGAAGTAAATGTAGAATTATGTAATTTTTATGAAATAAAAAAATATTAAAATTACATTTCTAAAATATACATTGTCATGTTCTTTACGCCCTATTGAAGGCATATATTTATAATTAAATAAGTTTAATCCCCCAGATTCTTCTTTACTACAACTTGTAACTATAATTCAGTTGTTTTAACCCACCAGATTCTTCCTTACCACCACTTGTAAGTATAATTCAGTAGTTTTAACCCACCAGATTCTTCTTTACTACCACTTGTAAGTATAATTCAGTAGTTTTAACCCACCAGATTCTTCTTTACCACCACTTGTAAGTATAATTCAGTAGTTTTAACCCACCAGATTCTTCTTTACCACCACTTGTAAGTATAATTCAGTAGTTTTAACCCACCAGATTCTTCTTTACCACCACTTGTAAGTATAATTCAGTAGTTATAACTCAAAAGATTCTTCTTTACCATCGCTTGTAGGTATAATTCAGTAGTTTAACACACTAGATTCTTCTTTACCACCACTTGTAAGTATAATTCAGTAGTTATAACTCAAAAGATTCCTCTTTACCATCGCTTGTAGATATAATTCAGTAGTTTTAACACGCCAGATTCTTCTTTACCACCACTTGTAAATATAATTCAGTAGTTTTAACCCATCAGATTCTTCTTTATCATCGCTTGTAGGTATAATTCAGTAGTTTTAACACACCAGATTCTTCTTTACCACCACTTGTAAGTATAATTCAGTAGTTATAACTCAAAAGATTCCTCTTTACCATCGCTTGTAGATATAATTCAGTAGTTTTAACACGCCAGATTCTTCTTTACCA